CACCTACACCCCTCACCAAGTGCCACCGACGCACCAAACCCCCAACACCTCCCCCCCCACATTCCCAGATACCCCTGAATGCCGCCATTAAAGCCAAGTAACCCCTCCTCCCACATTCCCACATACCCCTCTGTAAACCCATGTTACCGCTCCCCAGACATTCCTGCACACACCCCCAGACATGTTACCCCTCCCCGGACATTCCCGCATGGTTACCTCAATGAAGACAGTACAACAAACCGCAATACACAAACACAAAAGCCATGGTACGAAAAAAACTGAACAATGAAAATATGAAGTAACCAAAGTAAGTAAAAGAAGTGGAAGCATGGTAAAATACATGAAATCTCAGTGGAAGCACGGAATCGCACAGTAGTGTCAATATGAAAAAAAATGAAAAAGTAAACGAGAGGAAATATTATAAAAGAAGAATAACTATAAAAAAAAACCAAAAAAGCAAGAAGAAGAGCGAAACCTGTGAAACTCTAAATGAAGAAAGATACACACAAACATCATCGGCACGAAATCAAAGTCCTAGTCTACGGCGCATCGCACTGCCCGTCGTCTGTGTTATCATCATCGGTGATGCGCTCTCGCCGCCTTTGTGGCACCTTCGCCGCCGTCTCCTCTCCCTCCCCTGGATGCTGTGACGCAGACATGACATGATTGCCAACTGCTCTGGCTGCCACCCTCTCTGCCTCCTGGACCTCCGCCTCTCTCTCAACACCCGCTCCAGCAGAACGTCCCAAAACGCCAGTCAGAGTCGTGTATGTCTTCCTACCCCTAGGCATGGGCACCCCATCTGTCGCGGAATCCTCCGTGAGGCCCCAAGCAGCTCGACGACTGCCCGGTCCTGTACCTGTCTGATGTCGCGGCTCCTCATCCAGTATCTTGTATGCAGTAGAAATACAACCTCCACGGCTCGTCTGCAAAGTAACAGGATCAGGGTCATCCTCCAGCGATGCTGGGGATGGTCGGGGACCTGGCAAAGCATGTGTAGAAGATCGCCCTTTCAGACATCGATGACCATTTCGCTGTGCCGCACCTGCTGTGGGGGGTCGTGACGGCGGTGCAACCATCGTGCTGCCCCGTCAATCTGCAGCACACGACGACCCGGCACCAGGATGCTCCAACCTATCTCCCTTCCGTACCCAGCCTGCTGCGTCCGCAAACATCTCTGTCAACCTCCCCTCACGATCCCTCCTCTCCCCCGTGACACCAGGCATAGCATCCTTGATTTTGCAGGTGACCCTGCTGATGCCGCTCCACGATATAGACTTCCCCTTCACCTTTGATGAAGGTGATGGAGAACCCTGCACCTGCCCTCGCCCTCCTGCCGTCGCCGACGCAGCAAAACCCTCTCCCCAACCAACACTCCCGCCCGAAAGGCTCGACCAACTGCGGGACCACCTCCCCTGCCCACAACACCGCCACCAGACTCACCTCCCCGTCCACTCACCGCCCCTGCACATGCCGGTCGTGTCCCTGCAGCAACTGGCCCTGCTCCCAATGATACCCCTCCCAGCTCGATAACCCTCTGACCTGTCAACTGCTCCAACAAGTCAGCCATCTCCATAGTCTTCCCAATATCCCCCGATACCCCCGACGGTGCTGGCGGACTAACAGGCACGAAAGAAGATGGAGGCACAGCCTTCCAAAGCCTCTTCGATATATGCCTGCTCCTGCCCATCACTAGATCAATCCCTGCAGTGTGGCGCTCGAGTGGGGACATGCTGGGCACGTGTGCCTCTACAGGGTGTGCAACAACGTCACCGGGGTCCACCTGTCGCTCCTCCTCGCTGCGATGTGCATCCATAGCATCCACTGCGACAAGACCATCCTGAGTGTGATCTGCGACCACATCCTCCATTGCGGCAACGGCAATGCCGACAAGTGCTCTATCCACCTGCCCCACCACCTTCGTGCGATCGCACCCAAGCACCCCCCTTGTGTCTGTCGTGGCCGCACCGTCGCTCCCGTCCGCCTCATCAGTACTGGGTAGTAGCGTGTCGTTGGCCCCACGTAAACCACGCAACCCTACCCTCGCGTCCTCCTGGTGGTCGTWCGCACGATCCACCACGTGTCCCTCTGTGCAGAGTCCTCCACCATCTGCACTATCTACAGGACCATCGTGTCTACACTCTGCTGCTAGTCTGGTGGCAGTGACCTCCTCTACACTACACCCCATGTCCCTCGCCCTGGTCGTGTCCTGCTCCAACGCAGGCCGCTGTGTCGTGGCACACCCGGACAACATCCGTGCCAAACGCTCCTCCTCAAGCACGTCCTCGGGGTCCATATGTAGCCTCCTGGCAACACGACCGACGTCGTCTCCAGTCCTGCCCTCCTGTATCTCGCGTGGCGCTCTGGCAGCCTCTGTCAGCAAACCTGAACTAGCACCACCAAAAACCGACCCTATGAGGTGTGCGACTTCGCTCACCGGTGTCTGAACACGCAACCCGTCGCGCCGAGCATCCGAAGTGGGTGGACGTCCAAGGTCGAAGCCGTCACTGAAAATGCCAGAGGGAATCGATCCCTGTGGTACCTCCAAACCAAATCCATGTCCGCCACTACCGCCCCCGCCCACTGTACTGGGGCCAGGAGTAACAAGGAAGGCGCCTCCGCTCTGTCCTCAATCGGCCCACTGCCATCACCGTCGTCGAATCCATGCTCGTTCCCATGTCCTCTGTCCTCGTCGGGTCCCTCTCTCTCGATGTCGGAGTCCTCGTCATCGGCGGCATCTCCGTCATTAGACCTGTCACCTCCCTCGTCCTCGCTCGACGATCGCACAACCTGTGTCTGCTTGCGCCCTCTATCCGTCGCACTCCTAGTCAAGGGAGGGGTCATGCGATCAACATCACAATGGCTCTGCCGATCCCGCGAACGCATATCACTGACAGCCTCATGATCACTCTCTCCGCCGGACTCGTCACCAACATCAGGTGTGTCACTGCCTCTCTGCTCCAAGTCCTCCAGGTCCATCCACGGCTCTGCCTCCATCTCGTCTGCAGCATGCGGGTCCGTGGGTGGATCGTACTCGATCTCCTCGTTGTACAGCTCGATATGAGCTGCACGACGACCAAACACAGTCTGAACCGCAGGGGGGTGGCGAACCGTCGAGGCACGCTGCATCCTGCGCGCCTAGCGCGCGATCTCCTCGTCCGTCAATGACCCCGGCGGCAGAGTACCTGATCCGCGCGGCTCCGGGACGTCGTCCAACCCATCCTCAACATCACCCCACGGCAGAACAAGTCCCCTCCTCCTCTGTCTACACGCCAGGAGCTTCTTCTTCGCGCACATCTCCACCATTTCAGTCAACTTCATGAAGTCTAGCCTGTTGCGGCGTTTCTCGTGGATACGCTCGTGCAACGCCCAGTTCCTCTCCGCAGGAGAGGCGCAAACCCACGTGTACATCAGACGTGTGGCGATGGCACAAAGCTCAGGGGCATAGCCACCGTGCAAAACCCACCAATCAGCAATGGCCTGTGTCTCATCCGGCCCCTCGCACGTGTCCTCGTCTTCAGTGCCTGCATCTCCACCCCAATAATACCTCGGCCCGCACGTGTGGAAGTCGTACAACTGCTGACGAACCAACCTGTACCTGTCTCCCTGCCGGTCGAAGCCCGTCTGCGTGTAGATGTACTCAAGTGTCATCTCCGCAACCTTCTTCTGCTGATCGCTGCGCCTCGGAGACTGGAAGTAAACGAAGTTTCGCCTCTTGGGATTGAGAAGATGGGCGGCAGCATGGGCGGGCTCGAGCAGATGGCATGACGAGTGTAACAATCCTGCAGCAGGCCAACCAGGCGAGGTCTCGTTGACTCCAACTTCCGAGTCTCCTTGGCCAACTCGGTGAACCACCGGAAGATGCAAGAGATCACCAAAACCCCCTGGTCCAACATCCTCAACAATTGCACGACCGGGGTGAAGATGTCGATGAGATCATCCATCTCCTCCCAAAACAGTCCGCATCGCACCTGTGTGCGCACCCACCCGGCCTGCTCGAGCAGCCTTCTCTCCCATGGAAGTCGCGCCCAATCCCCCTCCAACATCATTGTCTCAAGTGGAACCCTGCGGTCGCGCAACCTCTCCATCATGATGTACATAGACACGAATCGCGTCTGGCAAGGGTACAACAACTCTCGGTCGCGTCGTGGTCTGCCTACAGTCCCCTCTCCGCCCGCGGCGCTGCCACCCAAAGGGTTCGCCTGTGCATCGCGATTGGCCCTCGCACTGTAACTCCTGAACAACGCGAGAGCTGATCTGTGACATCTAATGAATCGGACAACCGCCCTCGCCCTGGTCAACAAGTCGATGGCCCATGTTTTATCCTTGACCATGTCTGACAACATCAAGTTGCAGCAATGGACAGAACAAGGGAGCCAAGGGATGCGACGGATATCTGGATCGGGATCGTTGCAAAGCGCTCGAATGGCGGCGACATAAACTGATGCAGAGTCCATGCAGATGGCATTGATGTTCTTCACGCCGAACTTCTCGAACACCTTCGTCCAGCGCTGCAAGACGACGTCTGTCGTTTCTGCGTCAACCCCTTCCCTGCACACCGTCGTGAAAAGGAAGGCGCCCGACTGTCCTGCTGCGAGGAAGTTCACGATGGGCTCAGAGTTCAGGGACTTCCTCCCATCCATGAGGATGGTAGCCCCTGTGTGCTGCATCTGCTCGCGTATGTCACGTAGCTTATCAGCTATGTACGCACGCTCCTCCTGTATGCCACTGCCTGCTATGCGCTTGAACTGGGGCAAAGTAGGCTTCATGCCCCGGGGCATGTTCTGCAAGTGTCTCGTGAGGGCCCTATACTCGGGCATCCTCGCCCTCTCAAATGGGACACCACCAATATTCCACCACTGCACGAAGAGATGGTCGTAGGTGGTCTGCCACTCCGGGTCGTACATCTCATCCATTCTGACCTGCTTCAAACGTTTCGGGTCCGGCACTCGTGCCGCAGGAGCGGTGTCCGCCCTCCTCTTCCCACGGCCATCCATAGGCGCACGAGTCCTTGTCTGATGAGCAGTGCGTCGTGCCTTCAATGATCCCCCCTGAAGGGACGCTCCTAACTCCTTAACATCGTCCTCACCGGTGTCCTCCGTCTGTCCCTCGCCCTCACCCTCCGCCCCTGTGTCCATCTCATCGTCCCCGCCGCCACACTGTCCTCCCTCGCTGTCCGCTCCCTCCGTGTCCAAAACATCCTGCACCTCGTCATCCTCTGGCACTCCAACTCCCACCTCTCTGTTATTCCGGATGCCACGATACTCCATGTAATCCCGCACCTGTCTCTCTCGCCTCTGGTCGAAAGGGTACTGTGTGGTATTCCAAATGTCAACGAGGACCTCTGGTGTCACCTTGGGGCACCTACCCTTCGTGAAGTGCTCTGCACCCCGCGCCTGACTGCCCTGGAAAGGTGGTTTGTCGCAGAAGCGGCACGTCATCTTGAAGTTGCCCTTGCAACTCTCTAGCGTCTGACCCTTCGTCAAGTTCTTGAATATGCAGCACCGGCTAATAGCCTCGCGCTGGTCCTCGTCCTTGACAGGAACGAAGGCCTCCTTGGCGCCATCCCCTTCCCCCTTTTTCTTTTTCCCTGCCATCCCCTCCCCCTTTTTCTTTTTCCATGTCATACCCCCGGAAGCGTGTCCTGATGAGCCGCCGGTTGCCCGGAGAGCGCCGCCCCAGCATTCACGCCCGCCGTTCACAATTCCGTTCACCCGCGTGAACGGCTGTGAGCGGCCTGACGATTTCGTTCACGCGCATGAACGGGCGTGAACGGGGGTGTGACCGGCTCTCTCTCTCTCTCTCTCTCTCTCTCTCTCTCTCTCTCTCTCTCTCTCTC